TTTTACATCACCATTGTTTTTCCTCTTCTCTCTTTCTTTACCCACCCACCGATCGTTTTCATTTTTTTCCCTTTTACTGTTTTTCTTTCACTTTACCCCTGTCATTCGCCATCATTTCATTTTCATTTTTATTATAATTGTGTGCTGAGCAATTTAGAGCTTGTTTACTTTTTCTTAAGAACAGTGTGTGTGTGTGTGTGTGTTTTGTTCTCTCTGCTTTGCGCGTTTGCTTGGTCTAAGTGTTCACTTTGTCCGCTCAGGTTGTGTGTGCATGGCACACGTTCCTCATTCAATCTATTTTACTACACATTCGAACGTGTGCTAAGCAGATGAAATATACCCCGATTATGGGAACGTGCTCGACGGTTGAGAATGAAAAGGACACAAGAGAAAGTTCAAATCGCTTGAATATGTACACCGCACACGGCACCACAATCAATGGCAATGCATTTTATGCATATTTGTCTGGAAACGGTAAAGATTCGCACGCCACCTCAACTGCATATACATGTAGACTGTCAATATCTGGCATTGTGCAAATTCAAGCCATTTGATGCATGAAAAGACGTACGACAACACATCAAATAGTCGAAATTTATCTGATAGCAAACATTGCATAAGCAGATCTCACATAATTTACGGCTGACTTATGCAATGTGCAACAATAAGTGCATACCGCAATATTTGGATTTGGCACAACGTCAAAACTTAACCAGATAACGAAGACGATGACGATGACGACAACGAATGTAATCAATCAGCGAAAATGTGCTGATGCCGAATGTAATAGCCGTCAAAATCTTAAACGATTTTGCGGCTACAACTCAGTGTGACCAAATCGAATGTATTTCGACTTTGAACATTTATTCAAGACTGAATGACAGCCCATTTCCTGCAAAAAGAATGATTTATGTTCGTTTATAATGGAAGTGACTAAAGTACAAATTTATCTTTTATCGGTTCTTTTATATTTCAGTTGAAACATTCTCTTCTATAAATAAGGGTAATGGACACTTATATTTAGTGTAGATCGACGTGTTCATTCATTTATTTGGTACTAATATACTTTTTCAAACGATAAAAATAGATTCAAATCAGGTCACACCAATGTAAATGGTGTGATCCAAAAATGAATGCATCACATGGATGTCGGAGACAGATTTTGGTCGAAAATGTGCAAACATTTGTATGTATTGATATTGAAATTGATGAATGGAAAATGAAGCAAATGTTTTGATTGCCATAATGTTAACATTAAAATACAATCAAAGCACATCAATTCAATAAAGTCAAACGAAATTACCATGTCATTTTATGTTTTGATTAAATTGCAAATAAATCCGTTTAATTAGAATCATAAATGAAGTTGAGATGAAACGATAAATATTTTCATTGAACCCTTTCGAATACGTGTTTATTTCGTGATTTTGTCCATAAAATTAAAAAAAAAATAAATAATTTCAACTCACATGAAACTGCATAGATGAAATGGTAACTGCTCATGCATAAATAAATTTTATTAATTAAAGTGTACTTTCATGGAGAGAGACCAGACAATGTATTTTGCTAATGTCAGCTAGCTAACTGAAAATATCTGGCTAATTCTATGCGTTGCGTTTTTTCATCGCATCTTCAGTACAAAATTCCTATGTATGGAGATTTTTGTTTTGTTTATTTTTTGTTGTTTGTAAACAAATCTGCCTATCTTTTTGCATTGCCACTGTGCAAAGTATATGTCCATTGGAATGTGTAGAGACAATGCAAAAAATAGGTAGATTTGTTTACAAACAACAAAAATCCCCATAACTAATGTATTGGCCATGCAAAACTAAATAGCAAACATTTTAGATTTCTTATGGACTGTATACTATGTACAGTGACAATGTGATATGGTGAGACTTGTTTAAAAATAACGGTAAATGAACAAAACAAAAATCTCCATATATATGAATTTTGTACTGAAGATGCGATGAAAAAACACAACGCATAGATATTTTCAGTTAGCTAGCTAACATTAGCAAAATGCATTGTCTGAGAGAGACAGTAAAAAAGCACACACAGTTTGAAAAATGAATTTTCGGATAATAATTCATGTAACTCAAAATTTCACCGCTCAATGCAGATTGAAACAAATCACACATTGCCGTAATTGCAAACAGTAGAGAGTGAAAAAAAGCACATGAATTCATGTAATTATAAGCTGATTTTCTGGTTAAAATCAATTTTCATTGCATTATTATCTACATCATTTCGTTAAATATTCATTCTTTTTGCGCAAAGCACTCTATTGAAATAGGTGTGAAGCGCATAATTAAATGTATGATTTAATCATTATTTTTTATTCAATCCATCTATATTCAGTTTAAGAAATATGTAATCCAAACAAATTACAGCGATTAAGGTCGATATATAGTGTGGTGGTGATGACATGCAATGTGAAACTACACGTGAAATTGACAATTCCATTGCACTTCAAGGCTCCAATTGTAGGCACTTGTTTGTGATGTTGATTTATCAGAAAATGCTTTTCCCAAATCAAAATAATGGAAGCAAGGTAAAGAGACAAAATTAGAATAGAATTAACCTGCGGACAAAATTGGTACACACACACACACACAATTTTCAATGGAACAAGTTTGTACATTCATCAGATTCTTTGGCCAATTAAATGAATTTCTCGGAAAAAAGGAATTTTCCATTTTTATTCCAAATCCTTTCAGGATATATGGCCATGGTGTGCGCCAAATCGTTTTTGGATTGCTTTCAATTCACGAGCACAGCGCGAATTCAACACGCAAAACAGCGTTCAGGTAAGTTTTTGTACGTGTTTCTAAAGAAAAAATGAAAATCTTCTTTGAAAAGGAGCCCATTCTTCTGCTCTCTCTCTCTCTCTCTCTCTTCCTCACTCTCCCTCTCACCTTGCGACCACATAGAGCAAATGTATGTCTCGCATTAAGTGTATAAATGTGGCAATAAAATTATGAACCGTAGCAAAAGAAGAAAAATTACGATATTCTTCATTACATTACGGCCACGAAACGTTACGGCTTTTTTTTTTAATGGATTACTGTCAACAATCTATCGCCATGCAATAGAACAATTTGCTGAGTTTTCGAGTTACGCAAGAGACGAAATAAATATAGCAAATAAGACATAGACGTTGAGCGAAAACTGTGAGAGGGAGTGGGCTAGAGGAGAAGAAAAGTTTGAGTGAATTCTAATCGATTTATGGAAATTGGCTATTCTTCTGTGGCGAATACGATCAGACATATGAAAAATGAATCTGAGTGGCACACAACATTTCATAATGACTAAATTAATCGAAAACTCTTAGCGACGACGATGGCATGTGCTAAGAAGATTTGCAAAATTATTTATGAAAATTTATAACCGTCATTGCTTTACCCACAACATGACGATATGGACAGACGTTACGGTTTTGAGTTACCGCACAAATGAATAATTATAACAAAATTCCCATTTAATACATTTTTAATATGTTCGCTTTGAGCTGTATTTAATTTGTGAGCTCAATTATTGGTTACGTTGCTAGAGTCGCTCATAGATTTCTTGTCTGTGCGAACCACAGATACTGCCACGATGCGTCAAAATATGAAAGAGGTAGAAATTCATAAAGGAAAACCAAACGGAGTTAGTTTCTCCTGCACATTTTTCTCGAATGGAAACTTCATTTGAACAGTTTCATTGGCAGAAGAGCAAAAAAAAACGTCCAATGATCAAGTGGCTTTTACTGCTATTGTTGTGCCATTCAAACAGAAAAACCACAACCGCCTGGGCGTTGATGTGGTTAAATCAATGGTTTTTCCTGCTGTCATGAATGCCGGAAAATGGAATTCTCTGACAAATACTAATTTCTATGAAAACCAAGTTACCGAAAAAACCAAATCAAAAATGTATAAATTCGATCAATATTAACGGAATTTTACCGAATCAAGCACACCAATCAATGCTTTCGACATCGGTTTCAATCGCATCACACACACACACACAACAACAAAAATTGGTTAAATGCCATTCCAAATGTACAGGTGTGTGTATGTGTGTTTACTGAAATAAAAGGGAAAAGTGTTTTTGGATTGTTATCGACCGAACAAACGCTTTACGAAATGCGATTTAGGAAAAGAAAACAAACTTCAATCCAAATAAAAGGGAATGAAAGAAATCGGACAAAAATAGCATACACACAAAATTAAGCTACGAAATGGCAGCTTTTTTTGTGTGGTGTGGCCCCGAAAAAAAGGATCATCGTAAGAGATCGAAAGACACATGAAAGTTAAGAGCTGTTTGATGTTTGGAGAAAGAATAAAAAGAAATGACCACATAAAATTCGATACATTGTCAGAAGAAGAAAAAAATGCGAGTTGAGGTGTGTGTGAGTGTGGAAGGAGCAAGCAAGAAATGAATGAATTGTGGATGAATGTCGGTTCACTGGAAAGCAACAAAACTACTATTATGTGCTTTCGTAATCAGTTACCATCTGAATTTAATGTAATGTGACGTCATTAAGTATTATACCAATCAAAGGGAATCCTGCAGCGAACATGCGCACCAGCCCAACAATCAAACACCAACACCACCACCGTGCTCAGAGCTCATACAACGTCGATTGTGTGGCATGGACTTCTTATCGTTTGTCACTGTCTGCATTACTCCTTATCACTGCTGCGGCATTGAAAATACAACACAACTTTTGTTTGTTGTACACACGCAGACACACATGGCTGAAGGGGAAATGAGTTGTTCGTACGAAATTTTCATTGCTGATTGTTTGAATGTGTTTTTCCCTCGCGCGCACACACACACACACACACACACACACACACACACACAGGATGAGTGGTGTGTTTCCGATTTTACGATTGTGGTTCCCGTATACATGTAAATGGTCTATGGTTCTCTTACTGCTCGTTCTCTCGGTTTCGAGACAAGTAGAGGGGATATGTGGTTCGGAGCTTTTTCATATCCTGGCAGATCGAAATTACCTACAGCCAGGTTGAGTTGGTCCACTCAACTCTTCACACTAACAACCAACTGAACAATTTTCGTAGGAAATTTTATCAATTTTTTTTCCTTTTTGGGCGGTAGCCCTCTGTTGTGACAACCAAAAAAAAAATTAATTAAATAACATTTTATTTCAAAGTTTTGAAACACCATTTAAAAAAAAATTACCAAATTAAAATTGTTTTAATTGTTTTGTTAAATTCTTTGCAAACAAATTTGAAGAAAGAAAAATAATCAACAACAAAAAAAAAATTATATATATATATCACATACATATCAGAAAGGCAGAAATAAATTGATCGCAAGTGGTTTTTTTTTGTTTTCTCAACATAAATAAAAAAATAATTTAAAAAAAAAGTTGTTATTCGGTATGAAATCAGTCAAAACGTGTTTTAAATAGAAATAGAAAAAGAAGAAGAAGCAGAAGTGATGTAAATTCAAATAAATTATACGATTGCATAATTTGTTGTGTAACTGTGATTCTCAACCAATAATAACATCAGCAACTAGGCGAAAAAATTCCGATTCAGTGCATTCTTGATTGCAACCGCACACTTATCCCCCGAAGAGAAGAAGAAGCAAAAACAAGAAGAAATAGATCGACAAGTTCACCATTTTACTTTTGGAATTTCTTTTTATTAATATCAAAAGAGAAAAGAAAAGTTTAATAACATCAAAGTTTGCCAAACTGCTCTCCGAATTTGTGCTCTCTATTGATTTACCATAAAATAAGACCGTGGCTTCTTCAGAAGGTGCGAGTGGTGGTGATTCCGCCCTGTTTTCGAAATTAGGCGGAGCCATTTTTGGTGGCTCAAATTCACCTCAGCGAGTTATCGCCAATGTTCGTGGACTACTTGCGAATCGAATAACTGGCGCTATTCCAGACACAGGTAAAATAAGAAAAATGAAACAACAACAAATACATTCTCAAATACACCATTACTTAACTAGAGAGTGAACGAGAGTTATATATGCATAGAAAATCAATAATTTGCCATGTAGTTGTTTTTATCGAATGACCAAAAAGATGACACATTTATTGGGTTTATTTACGAAAATCGTTCATTTCTAAATTGTCATTCGATATAAATCGATTAATTTTCAACACAGTTCATTGTTATTTCGGTTATGTAACAAGGTTTTTTAAATAAATTATCGATCGAAATGGGAAAGCGAACACAATTTTTATTTGTCCATAGAAATAATTTGCAAATGTAAAATTGAAATTGGTTTTGTTTCTCGTAATTTTGGGATTACTACAAATTATTTATCCTTTAGAATTGTACGTTTTTTTGTATTTATTTCTTCTATAGCCGTCGGCTTTTCATTTATTGACATTTGGTTTTATCATGACGAAGCGAAACACTGACTACCAATTAATTGCAATAATTATTCCGGTAGATTTGCAATCTGTGATTGTGTAACGTGTGTCAGCCACACCTGATATAGTGATACCAATAGCAAAATATGTCTATTGTTGAACGGTTAGCGGTCACCTGCAAATACTCGCTGCAATTAAATGTAATTGCATTGCATTGCCGGCGCCAATAAGAAATATTCCCAATGAAAAATTTATTGGGCGCTGTTGGTTATGTTTTTTTCTCGTCTCATTCCATCGACGACGACTATGTTGTTGCTGTTTTTTTTTCCTCGTGTTCATGTTGTCTTATGTCCTGTCATTAATATATGGTTTCATAATTCCCGAAACAAGTGGGGATTAGTTTCATTGGCCTTGCCATTCGTGCTGTATCTCATGATACAATACACGAACGATCCGCATGCACTTCTCATGCCAAACTAAAAATATACACACGAACACGGAAAAAAGGGTGTTAAATGAGTTGGAAGCGATTTATTGATACATTCCGATTTGATGAGACGTGAAAGAGTGTATGGCAAAGTATTTCAGACAGCCGAATAATAGAGAGGCTATTTTGCAAAACAACATCTATACATCAACCAACCATCCCTCTCGATTGGCTAGCGCACTAGTCGATATGCACTTGCTGAAAAATGCAAGCCGCTCTTCTCACTTCTCACCAATTGATTTGTTAAATCCTATTGGAACCGTTTTTTTTTTTCATTTCATCCTCTATTATTCACATGCATTCCCATGAAATTGTGGGATTTTCTCAGCTCTTTTCATACAATACTCAAATGCCATTGAGTTGAGTTCGTTATGTAGGGCGCCTTCCTTCTATTTGCAAATTGATTGCTTCAAATGGTTCAATGCATACAGCATATTGCTGGTGCCTTGAGTGGCAAATGGATTTTTGACTACTTAACAATTATTTTTTCATTAAGTCATTCGAACTTTTTGGTGGAAAATCTATCGATTACTATTCAATAATACATTAGTTTATGCCATGAAAAGTATCGACTTTGTAGCAATTGTGTGTCATTGAAATTGCAATTAGTATTTGTCGTTTTTGTATTATGTTTCGATTCATAGACACTTCATACCGACAAATTTCAATTATACAGTGGACAACGAAGGAAAAACAAAATCTGGGCCACTACACAATTATGGAATGGGAATGAATCGATTTACAATGGCACTTCAACACGTATATCCATTGTATTCGCGTACTTTCAATGTGATTAGAAGTGTCGATAAGTTTGGAAAGCGGCTAGTTTTTCGACGCAGGGAACCTCGAACGAATGTGATTTTCTTTTACGCATTCGATGGAATAAAAGGAAAAAAATCATTCGGAGGAAATGTATGCGCCAGAAGTGCCAAACATTTGACTATTGTATTTCATAAGTGGCACTTGGCCTTGTATTTTGTGAATGTGTGTAGGTATACAAACTGTTTTTACGATATTGACGAAAATATAATTGTCAAACGTCGCATTTTCGACGACTCAAATTGACTCCAACGTTTTACGTTTTCTTGACAATCCCAAACAAGGAACACAACTACCAGCACCGTTCCAATGGTTACATTGTAATTCGTTCTTCGTTTTTTTTCTTGGGGGAACGAATAATATATGGATTGAAGTCACGCAAACTATTTCGAATGACATGCAGCGAATGTGTATGGTTTGTTCGACGTTTGTCGTGTCGTCTATTGAATGAAATCTGGCATTCGGTCAGTGACGGCACACCATTGACCTGCGGATACGGCCATTGTGAAAATGTTCTTTACGAAAATTAAATGTAAATGTTCCCTGCTTGGACTGGCGAATTATTTAACATTTACTTTCAAAATTCCATTAAGAAAAATCAAAGAAGAAACGAAATGAAGTGACACAAATCACGATGGTTTTCGTTCCGCTGCTGGAAAAAAAACGTCAAAACGACAAAATTATGACGTGAATTGGCGAAATGGAAAATAAATCATTACTTTTTTTCCCTGTCGAAAATAAAAATGAAATAACGGAGAAAGAATGATGATAACAAACGGCAAAAATTAAACTATATTATTGTTTGAAATGTTTTCGGCTGCGGCTACCGGTTGAAAAGCGGGGGGGAAATAATAACAATCTAACTGGTATCTAATGCAATTATTATTAAACAGGGGAAAAAATTGAAAACTGTCTTTCCTGTGTTGTATCCTGCTGTTTGTTGTATACGCTGTAAGCGCCTCATTTCACCATTTCCTCCGAAATGAAAGGAACTTTCATTTTTTATTCTCGATTCATAAATAATAACATTCCAGTTGTCTGCCTGTGTTAGTCGCGACCGACACTCACGCATTTCTTCTTTTTTTTGTGTCATACAGTTTGTACGTATTTTGTTGTTGTTGTTCGTGTGTTTATTTAGCGCGCGTGTTGTTGTAAGAGTGGCGTTCATATTTTTTTCGTTCCTTTTCGGCGGTGCTTTGTGAGTGTATACGTTTGAATTTTGCTATATAAATAACACACCCCGTGTTTATGATTAAAATAGCTAATGGACTGGGGAGCAAAACGCGGAATATGAACGTATATAGATAAATGATGTATTTTGCCCGTTCGCACACAAACACACACACAAACGCACACAGCATTCAATTTACCGGTGTGAAAAATATTGCAAAGAATCCACCGTTGTTACCACATGCTGAAAAATGATGAAAAATATCAGCATAAAATAAATTTCAATGTGTAGATAGATGTATTTATATAGGAAAAACCAACAATCAATCCCTTAACTCATCGGACGACATCAACGGTACCGAAGCGTGAATCATTCGAATTTTCAAGCCATTCACAATATTTCCATAGCGTTCTGACACAAAATCATACACACTCACACACAGAGAGAGACAAAGACGAACTCTCTGCATTGAAAGACTGATCTATGCATAAACTGAGGCGCTCGCATTCAATGTGTCATACAGCAAAATAGTGCTTAGGGAGTGAATGTCTCGGTAAATGTATTCGTTTCTACGTGTCGTGTATTCGTGTATACCGTAGTAGTACCTTTTTCGGTCTGGTTAGATAGATAGAAGAAGCAGCAAGTGTGCACTGAACAAGGGTGGTCGCAAGACGAGAGAGAAAGAACGCATCAGCAAACAGCGAATAGAGATGAAAAAAGAATGAAATGAACATTACACAATCTACGTGCATCAACTTGTATAAATTTTATTATTTATTTATAAATGATAAAATGATATAATGTGTATTTTATGTAGACGTCGATGGTGATGCTAATGCTATGATGGCTTCGGCTGTTCACGGTGTGTGTGTGTATGTGTGTATATTAGCATCGTCAACACCATCGCATCCATATCGATGGCTACGATTTTGGCTAATGTTTTTGATATCGTGTCGTTGTGCGCTTAGGATTTGCATTAGATTAGGATCAAATGTGTGTGATACGCTTGCAGATTATACACAGATCTCCCTAGGTGATTCCGAATTGGATGTGAATTTTAAATTTTTTCCGAAATTGGGCACATGTCAATATTCATAAATCCAATGAATGTATGACACTAAGTGGTGCAACGTTTTTTTCTCTTCTTCTTCTTTTGCTCACTCGACGATCTATTGTATCGAAATAAAAGAAAAACATTGGCAAGCCATTTAACGAAGAGTCCCTTTTTTTCTCTCCATCTCTCCAGATAGTATCTGTTTTCTATCTGGTTAGCAATTATTTGATTCTAACTTTTTGCACCCTTCGTTCGATTGCGATCGTATTGCTCATTCGAGAAATTCAAGACTCACCCCATTGCGTGATAACAGACAATTCGATATGTTCTACCTTTATTTTCACTAAAGGTTCATTCAATGTTGAATGAAACATGCTCTGTTGCACACAGCAGGATGTAGTTTATATATTGTGTGTATATCGTACACTAAACGAATATTCACAGTGTAGCCTCTGAATTTCACAAATAAATTTCACGTGAAAATATCAAATTTTCCGGTTTTTCCATTTTCATTGATGAACAACATGATTTCCATGGCATTTTTTCATTCCATTTGTTTAACATTAAAATGCAATATAAATAGAAATATCAATAATATTCTGGAGGGTCCTCCAACATTCCGAACTCTCGGCTGCCAGGCTCTCTCTCTTTCTCTCTCTCTCTCTCTCGTGAAAGTGAATCAGATTTCTCTTTGACAACGAGAACCAAAAACAACTCGAAAAGAAAAATATAACGCAATCATAATTAAGCATTTTGAATTGCATTTGCATACTTATACCACTTGACATATACACAAACGGACGAGAGAGAGAGAGAGAGAGAGAGAGAGAGAGAGAGAGAGAGAGAGATAAAGAGAGAAAGAGGAAGAAGATAGAACGAAATAGATACCTTTTGAAAACATCAAAGCAAATATTTTAAGCACAGTTGACATTAAAACCTCTCATCGCTTGTTCTCGTCCTTCCCCCATCCATTCAAATCGCATTAAAATTTTAAATTCAAATTTTACCGAAGGGATTAAAACTGTGTGATACTACTAC